ACTAGTAGCTAGAGGCTACTAGTAACAAGGGCATCGCTGCTAGTAACCCGGGCATTACTAGTAGTAGCTAGAAGCTAGTAGTAACAAGGGCATCGCTGCTGGTAAAAAAGGGCATTACTACTAGTAGCTAGAAGCTAGTAGTAACAAGGGCATCCCTGCTAGTAACAAGCGCATTACTACTAGTAGCTAGAAGCTACTAGTAACAAGGGCATCGCTACTAGTGACAAGGGCATTACTGCTAGTAGCTAGAAGCTACTAGTAGCAAGGGCATCGCTACTAGTAACAAGGACATTACTACTAGTAGCTTCTAGCTACTAGTAAGAAGGGCATCGCTGCTAGTAACAAGGGCATTACTACTAGCAGCTAGAAGCTACTAGTAACAAGGGCATCGCTGCTAGTAACAATGGCATTACTACTACATTACTACTAGTAGCTAGAAGCTAGTAGTAACAAGGGCATCGCTGCTGGTAAAAAAAAAGGGCATTACTACTAGTAGCTAGAAGCTAGTAGTAACAAGGGCATCCCTGCTAGTAACAAGGGCATTACTACTAGTAGCTAAAAGCTACTAGTAACAAGGGCATCGCTACTAGTAACAAGGGCATCCCTGCTGGTAACAAGGGCATTACTACTAGTAGCTAGAAGCTACTAGTAACAAGGGCATCGCTGCTAGTAACAAGGGCATTACTACTAGTAGCTAGACGCTACTAGTAACAAGGGCATCGCTGCTAGTACCAAGGGCATTACTACTAGTAGCTAGAAGATACTAGCAACAAGGGCATCGCTGCTAGTAACAAGGGCACTACTACTAGTAGCTAGAAGCTACTAGTAACAAGGGCATTACTACTAGTAGCTAGAAGCTACTAGTAACAAGGGCATCGCTGCTAGTAACAAGGGCATTACTACTAGTAGCTAGAAGCTACTAGAAACAAGGGCATCGCTACTAGTAACAAGGGCATTACTACTAGTAGCTAGAAGCTACTATCGAGGGCAACGCTACTAGTAACAAGGGCATTACTACTAGTACTACTAGTAGCTAGGCACTACTAGTATCAAGGGCATCGCTACTAGTAACAAGGGCATTACTACTAGTAGCTAGAAGCTACTAGTAACAAGGGCATCGCTACTAGTAACAAGGGCATTACTACTAGTAGCTAGAAGCTACTAGTAACAAGGGCATCGCTACTAGTAACAAGGGCGTAACAAGGGCATCGCTACTAGTAACAAGGGCATTACTTCTAGCTACTAGTAACAAGGGCATCGCTGCTAGTAACAAGGGCAT